TGCCATTTGAAAAATGTTGTGCTTATGACCAACTTATCATTTGCTTAGTACCTACTAGGAATTATTATATAATGTGTGCTTTCTTTTGCAAGCCTTTCGCTTAAGCTTAAGAATCGAATAACTTCACCGAACAAATTAGCTGCGACTTGGGGCATAGCTGATAATGCGGATTATTGGCTTTGGTTTGTTGCATTATAGTTCATTCGATAATTTGGCTTAGACTCGTTTTGTCGTCCATTGCTTAAAATAAATAAATACATGTAGAAATAATTAATTAATTTTTGTAATGTAATAGTTCTATTGAATGATGGGAAAAATTTGGCGAGCCAAAGTTCAAACCCAAGCGTTGGTTATTAGGCTGCACATGATTTGGATATACATTTGCCTGATACATGGTAAACAAAATCTACCTTATGGGTGGATGTAACTAAAATTTAGATGCGTTAATTTCTGATGACAATCAACAACGTTGAGGCACGTCAATGTACCAGATGCTGTAGGTTGATAGATTTTTTATATTTATACATTTTGCTATGCATGTGCCACAGTTTCATGCAGTATGTAAATGTTGCTGCCGCTGCTGCTGCTGCTGCTGCAGTTACCCTGTCATCTGTTAACAATAAAGGCACCCACGAGCTGCTAGTGCAGCCGATGGCCTAAAGCCGGCAGCGTAGCCGGCAACAAGCTAAAAAAAGACAAGAAGACGCGCGCGTGGCACATGTCAAAAGCGAGGGGGAAAATTGTTAAACAAACAGCAAACAGACGCAGACGCAGCGTGAAAATAAATTGAACAGCCCAGCGAAGCGTCACTGACCTACGCGCACACGTGAGCAACAGTAGCAACAACAGCAGCAACAACAACAACAACAACAGCAGCAGCAACAACAGCAGCAACAACAACAACAACAACAACAGTAGCAACAACAGCAGCAACAACAGAAATAGCCAAAGCAAAAAGCTGCCCCCGCAGCGTTAATTTCAAATTTCCCAGTCGGCAACATTTTGTCAGTCGGCTGGGGATGTTGCTGCAACAAGCGATGGCACGAAGTGGCGCTGCCCGTTCGTGCCCCAATCGCTGCTGCCTCGTGTGGATGCTGCGCGTTCGGCTGCGGCCGGCAACGTCGGGGCCGTCTCAAATCTTCAGCGGCAGCTGCAGCTTCAGTCTTTGCGCGATTTTCACCAACTGCGGTACAGCCTCAGTCGGCAGCGCGTTGCAGGCCGTTTCATGTGTTGAAAGTACGAAAGTATCTGCTTGCCACAGCAACTGTGCGCCACATTTTGCGTAATATTTTGCAGCGCGTGTGCGGCATTCAAGTGCCGAGCAATCCATTAAGCGACTACTCAAAAATCATTGCCATAATACATAGTTTTTATTCTCAATCCGTTTGTTTTTTTTTTTACTTCCATCTCATTTATTTTTTTTGTATTTTTTTTTTTTGGAGACCGAGCGTATTTTGTGTGTGCTTTTTAGCGACGCGTGTGGTAAAATTCGAAGCGCGCTTTTTGGCGCACTTTGAGCCTCGCCAGTGTGAACTCAAAACGTAAACAGCTTTCGAGTGCCAGCATAAACAAAATACAACTACAAATAACACACACACACAGACTTTGGTGTGTGACATTTGCTTGTTCGTGTGTGTGTGTGTGTGTGTGTGTGTATTGGAGAGAACGTGCTGTGCTGGTAAGTCTTGGCTTGGCTAACAAAGCCACAACTCTTGATGACCTCAAAACCGCTGAAATTATATCAATTAAGATTTAGTGGCCCAAACGGGGGCGATATAGCAGCACGACTTTAATGATAATGCGCTATAATCATCTTAGCTGAGCATGCAACCATTCGGCTGCATTCCTCACTTGACATTAGTCGGCAATTACTTGACATTTTGCCACGAAATAATGTCCCATTAAAGTTAATAAAGTCGTTCTTGTTGAATGATTTCAGTTCTCTGCAGATGGTTTGTCCGAATGAGCCAATCATATTGCTAATATAATAATAATAAAAAATTACAATAATGAATTACAATAATATTACAATTTTCAACAAAATTGTAATATTAATAACTATTAATATAATTAAAAAAAAGAATAAACCAGTAATTATATTAATAATAATAATATTAATAATCTTATAATAATAATCTATATTATTATTAATATTTATAAAGAAAAGGTCATTTAACAAGGCCTTGAAGCTTAACATATCATGTGCATATAGATGTTTTATGTATATATATATATATTTATGTGTGTATGCAAGTACCAATTTGTGCTTAAACTTGTGAACCTTATTCAATTTTTTCTTTTCGCATGCGTTTTGTTCATTTGTGTTCATTGATTTAATTAACTTTGAACCTTCACTTGTGTTAAATAAACTGAAAATTTGTTTGCAAAATAATTTGCTGTTGCTGTTGTTTTTTTTTTATTATTTATTTATTTATTTATGTAAAGCAATCAATGCCATTAAACTGTTTTGTTTTATTAATTTAGTTTTCAATAAATTTTAAATTAAATTAAGTGTTATGCAAAGTGCAAAAAAACTCGCAGTAGTTTTTAAATATTATAAATACTGAGTATAGAAAAAATGTGCTGTCAATAAATAACATACGTGATATGGGATAAAAGTCATATTGAGTAGGTTAGTTTTTTTTTTGTTGTAAAAAAAATGGGATCCTCAACAGAAATAAAAAACATGCTGTATTTGCTAGTTACTCCATTCCTTCAATATATCGTTTACTTGTTCTTAAGACTATTCAACGATTCGAATGTAAAACTGATATGTGCGAAAGGTTTTGCCTTGCACAATGCCAAATCAGAGTTCAGAGCTCGCTCGTTATTTCTCGTAGCAACATTCATGTAAACTAGCTAGGGCAGGTTGCTGGGGCACTGCATTGATTCTGTTTGCAACACTCAAGCAACAGTCCCTGCGAGTTGGCCTTCAAAAACGTTATCCGAAGTGGGAATGCGGCTATGGAGCGCCGGGCTAAATAAATAAGCACTTGGGCTAAAAAGCTGGCACAAAAAAAATGACTACAAATGGACATACAAATAGAAATGCTGAAAGTGCAACAGCAACTGCAGCAGCAGTAACAGCAGCAGCAGCAGCAGCAGCAGCACATCAAAAGCCAGCGGAAATGGACAGTAAATAAATGTTTACAATTTTTCTGTTGCGCCTGCTTTAGTTGGGTATCTTTTTCTCTGGTTTTTTGTTTGCCTTTGGCACATAAATATTGCGGAAATTGTGTAGCCGCTGGTAAAATAATGGCCAAGGCACTGCAGCTGCGGGTGGGCCCATGGCGAACGTGGCCAAATCAGAACTTAGAGTGGAGCACATGAAATGAGTATATGAATAATGTGCCAAACACTCACAGATAACTACCAGATGTGTGCAGTGTTTGCAGCTGCTGCCACTGGTGCTCCTCAGATAAGCTTAATTCTTTACAGGCTAGGGTACGCGGGAATGCCCGGGCCTAGTTTACTTTTTTGAGCCTTAAATTTGACATATCATCTTTATCATACATTTCTATGCCGATCGGGCATATATGAATATAGGGCATTCACTTATCGCACTGGATTTTCTGTTATCGGTGAATTTACATAGATATTTGAAAATGAGTTTGACTTCGCCTGAAGCATGGACTTTCGAAAAAAAGTGAAATGTTGAAACGTATTCATTAGAAATAAAAAGCCGCCCGTCTGCTCTAAGCATAAACGTTCGAAACATATCTTTACTGAATCTTCCGAGCTTTTAAAAAATCAATTAGTTATTTATCTTTTAAGATAGAAAACCTTTGTCCATGCTAATTGACCTCCAATTGCGAATATGCAAAAATACTTTTGAAATAAACGTTAATTTTCGCTCTGGGGATGAAATTTCCGAAATTTGTTAAACAAGTGTATTCTCAAAAAACCTTTGAAATGAAATTCCACTTTTCGGTCTGATGGTGGAATTCCGGAAAGTGTGGTATTTCCCCAGAAACCCTTAAAAATAAATGTGAATAAAATAAAAGTGAAGTGGCAAGAAGAGTTTTGGAAGCAGCTTCGCGCCCGATCGAAACTTAAGCAAACACTCTTCTTAAAGTATCTCTGCTTTAATTATTAAATTTATTTCGTATTTGTGCGACCTCCTCTTTTCATCAGCCAACAAAATATCTATAATTACATATATATTTAAAGTAAAAGTAAAAATTACACTCGACTGCAGCAGCAGCAGGAGATTTCGAGACACAAGTAGTGCAATTACTGCATAAGGTACTCGTAACGAGGCATTCTCCCAACCCCAGCCCCTGCCCCTGTTTCTGATGCTGCGGCAGCTACAGCTGCAGCTGCTGATGCTGCCAGCTGGCAACTGGCAGTAGGCTGGCCCGCTTCCCTCCACCATTTGCCGTTTAAGCCAGGGGTCACTTCTCTGCCGTGTGCCATGCCCAAGTGCTGGACTAATTTAAGGCAATTATTTGTGCCACCCGCCGCTCAGTGGAGCGCACACAAAAGAGGAGGGAGAATATAGGCGTGATATCTATATGTTTTTATATGCGAAACTGAATAGTGGGGCAATTGTTTCTTTAACTATCAAAATTGAATTGCATGTGCCAAAAAAAAAAATCTGAGCTAGTATGCATTTATAGATATACTTATTCTCGATAGAAGTCAAATTTGTTGAAATATTTCAGTTAAAATAGGGATAAGCATTCGGTCTTGAAATTAAAGTTGAATATAATACAAGTCGGCTGCTGTTATTTCAAGTTTGTTTTTATGAACACGCAAAGAACATTCGGTGTTCTGGGGCTCGAAGTAAGCCTGTACAATCCAGTTCATTTGTATGAAAATATAGATATATACATTTTGGAAAAAAATATAGTTTCTGGAGAACATTTTTATATCTTGGTAAGCCAATTACTTATTTTCTTCATAAGCGGAAAGAAGTTCCATGTCCCGCGAGGAGGCGTAGCTGATTGTGTTTGAAAGTCGACATCTTCATCATCATTTAATTCATCTTAACCACGACGATGAACAACCCCAAGAAGGACAACGCCAAGAAAGAACACGCCAAGAAAGGCAACACCATAAAAGAACACGCCAAGAAGGACGATACGACGGTGATCAACACGAGGCCAAAAAAGGTTGTGGAGCACAGCTATTGCCTCAGCAGGTTCATAGATGAAGACAAGCCAATGAAGTTTAGGCTGCCGAAAAAGAAGCCAATGGCCGATAAGGTGCTCAAGCAGATTATGCATAAGCTTAATCCCGACATTCTCTTCGTACTTGGTGATAAGGCCTATGGCTGCCATGGAGTAGTGCTGCGCTACTACTCCGAGGTGTATGGCTACTGCCTGCCCACGGGCATGATAATAGGTCTACCGACTGACAAGATAACTAGCCTGGCCTTTGTCTTGGCCTACGAGTGGATGTTGCAGACGGAGCTGCAGTGCCCCCGCGGCAAGCTGCTCGAGTTGCTTCAGGCAGCGCATTATTTTTACATGCCGGGGCTTGTAAAGAACTTGTTCAGGTGCCTGTGCGATAAGGATTGCTTCGGTGAGCCGGATGCGATTGCGACCTACTTTGAAGCAAAGAGCAAGAACAAGTGGGGCATCGCCAAGCTGATGCTGACCTGTGTCCGCAAATACTTTCTGTTGCTGGTTTGCACCGATGAGTATCGTGATATGGACATAAGTTGCGTATGTAAACTGCTGTCTTCCGACAGTCTCGCCGTTCAGTCGGAGGTGGAGGTGTTATTCGCGGCCTTGTATTGGATATTCTCCGACTATGATGGGCGCAAACAGCACTTGCCCGCAGTCCTTGAAACCGTGCGTTACATCCTGATACCACCCAAGTCTCTGATCAACCTTGCCGCCCATCTGCACGAGATGGTGCCGAGGGTGGCAGATGAGTTGTTGCCTAGGTTGCATATGGCCATGCTGTTGCAGCAGGAGATGTACATGGGAACCCTCTCTGAAAACGAGATTAGGACGCGTGATCGCTTCTGGATTATCGATCCGGGATGCCATTACCAAAACTTTGATGGTCAGCTTCGAAAAGAGGAAATATTTAGTCCCATCGACTTTATAACATATCTAGATAAACTTGACAGCGCCACAAGCTTTTTGGGTCGCATTCAGGTGAAAGTGCGTCAACAGAGAGATGAAAAGTTCGATTGAAAATAAAAATATACAAATGATATATATATTTTCCTAGATGCTGCAATTGTTGGATTATTGAATGAATTGGATATATATAATATCGACAAATTTAATTCTTGTCTGCCTTTATTTATAATTTACCAGTTGTTTAATATTTTTATTTTGTCGGTTTTGATAAAATCTGGCGAAGCGCGATAAAAGTGTAAAAGACGACCAACAGATAGAAATATTGCTTTAGACAAGCAGATACTCTGTACTCAGATTATTATTTCTCACATTTCATGATCGAATGTGACAGAAATATCTTTCGATCAAATTCCATTCAAATTCAATTGCTACTCTTTCTGCTACAGGAAATAGGTTTTGGTTAGTTTCTATTGTAGGATATTTGGATTTGAATTGAGAAGCAGAGGAATTCTATGGGCTTTCTGCATACTCTAACCTTTTCATTTGGTTTAGTTCATGATATAGAATTGATAAATGACTTGTTAAAGTACAGTTTAGCTTAATTACCTACACATGCTTTAATTCTCAACTGAGCGTCTCATAAATATGTATTTCAATGTAAACACCCATTAAGCATTGTGTCTGCTTAGTTAACAAACAGCTGACTGACTCATTTGTTGTGCCGAAAACAGAACTTTGAAGGAACTCGTTGAGAGTTTCGCTAGCCAACAGGTTTCAAAATCCCTAGAGACTTCTGTGTCTCACTCGATTACTGTGTTAATATTCGATCTATTATGTTATACCCTGTAGCCTTTGAAAATAGGTAAAAAAGGGTATATTCGTTTTGTGCAAATACTTGACCTCTACAATGATCTGAGTCGATTTGGCCATGTCCAACCGCCCGTCCGTCAGTCCACCCGCCTATCTGCTTGTCCTTGTTCACGAACGCGTCAATCTCGGAAACTACAAAATCTAGAGAAATAGGAAGTATATGTGTTCCTCCATACCATACACAAAAGGAGTTTATCGTTTTTATTCGATATCTTGCTAGAGACTTGGTATTTTTTGGCATAGCTTAAAAACGATATAAAGTAGGTACAGAAAATTGGATATTGACTTCCTCACTTGGTGTACTTTTTGTTTACCTCAACCCATTCCACTCTAAAATCCAAATGGAAAACTACTTAAAGCTAGATTTTGTTGATTGTTGAATTTCATATCTATTAACCTATAATTGCAGTAAGATCGGACAGCAAACATAAAAATAATTCAACATTAAATCGTCAATTTTGTAGGGCAGTCGGAAGAAGCAGCATGTTAGAACTTGGGCATTCTTGGGCTTTTGACATTCATATTGGGCAACATTTTATGATTTAAAAAAATATAATATTGACAGGGGTACAGGGAATTTTGTAGTCGAGCACACTCTACACACGACTTTGGCATTTTTACTTGTTTTTGCAATGAAGTTTGCATATCTGAGTGGATAAATAGCTGAAATCAAAATGTTGATTTAATTTTGATTTAACAACTGAAATCGTTAATGCATTAAACAAAAGTTGCTGTTGCTCTGCTTCCCTCTTGCGTTCTCTCTGTCGTTCTCTTTCTCGTTCTTTCTTTTTCTTTCTGTATCTCTATACCTCTCACGCCTCTACTATCTTGAAGGGCAGTCGCTTGCTTGGCTTGGCAAGGACTAATAAGCATTCGGCGGGCGTATCTGCACTTTTTACTACCCTACCCACTCGTCACTTACCATTCGCATTCCAGCATATTTACTCATATTAATTTAAACTCGCGCTCGCGAGTGTGTGTGTGTGTGTGTGTGTGTGTGTGTGTGTGTGTGTGTGTGTGTGTGTGCGGGAGTGCAGTTTTCGTCTAAGGCTCAGCTTTCTTTCAGTCATTTGCAGAGTCCGTTGCCATTTAGTGCGCTTATTCATTAAAATACAAAAAGCAAAATAGGCGCAGGATATGCAGAGCGAAGGTGGAGGACTAGGTAAATGAAGGTGGGGACCATGGCGAAATAAGAGTGAAAATGAATGAAATAAAAAATGTAAACATACACAAGTGCAATGCAAATTAAAGCAGACAGCAAAGTGGCTGCTCCTGAACCGTTGTGCAGGACAAGTGGCACGTTCTGGGCGGGGCATGGGAGAACGAAAGGCTGGCAGCGGGCAAATGTGGGCAACGCCGACTGATGCTCTGGCGAAAGTTAGATGGAAACAATGCGAAATGCAGAAGAGGCTGTTCGGTAGAGGATTGGGTGCTCTATGGCGTGGTTGAGGTACGGTAGCAAGTCCTTGCCAACGCGAAGAGGCAATTCATTAGCTTTAATTTAGGTAAATGTCCTTGGTCCTTGTGGTGCTGCCTCTTGTGGCGAACGTTGCAAATGCAACTAAAATGTTGCGGTTACCTCCATTTTCATTTGCTTACCACATTTGTGTATATGTGTGCGTCTGTGTGTGTCTGTGGGTGTGTGAGTGGGTGTACTTTATGAATGTGCTCGTTATGCTTTCTCTGGCAGCTCACTTAATATTTAAAGCTATCAAAAGTCGCCCAAGTGGTACATTTGCTGCACCTCTTGATGCCTAAATTGCCCAATTAACAAATTTAATGGCATTTTAAAGGATTTTTCGTTTCGCTGCAATTCGCTTTCGATCGATTGTTGCAAGATTCCTCACAAGCTTCAAGAAATTGAATGCATTTCAAGAAAAAATTTATTTTTCGAATAATTTGTGCTTTTATCGTCTGATCTTTAGAAAATTTAAAGGACATTTGGACAGCTTTTAAATGCTATCATTTTCTAAAATCAAGCTTAAAAAAATGTTGTTGATTCAGTTTATGGTTTGAACCAACTCGCTTTTATACATCTTTGAAACCTTGTGTTGGCTCAAACCTGGCTTTGTCATATATGTTAGATATTAATACTTACTCGCCCGCTTGACTCAATTATTGCAAGCAGTAGATATTTTCATATGAATGCTTCGGGCTAGCTAAGAACTCTACCACAAATTGGCATGCTCTGATTTAAAGTTCATTTATGAGTAAATAATAAATTTGATTTATGAGCTTGAAACGTTTTGGTTCAAGCCCGGTTGCAGCCTTACATTTAGATACATTTTGTAATAACCGATAATTGATTCTTTTTAAGATTTGTATTTTGTTAAATATTTCATAATTGTTAGTTGTTTGAGAATCGAACGTGTTGAAACGTATGTTTTATGTGATCTAAGCTAGCTGCATGTGATCTAAAAGACAGTTTTATTAATAAGAAAAACATCATTCGATAGTGGACCTTTCACGCAACGCAATATTTCTTTGAGGCAAGGAGCAAAAACAAGTGGGGCATCGCCAAGCTGATGCTGACCTGTGTCCGCATATACTTTCTGTTGCTGGTTTGCACCGATGGACTTAAGTTGCGTATGTAAGCTGTGTAGGTGCTATTCGCGGCCTTGTTTTGGTTATTCTCCGACTATGATGGGCTCAAACAGCACTTGCCCGCAGTCCTTGAAACCGTGCGTTACATCCTGATACAACCCAAGGGTCCGATCAACCTTGCCGCCCATTGGTATACGACTTTTTATATTATAGAGATATTGTAGCTCTTGGATTATTTTTTTTATATATGTTTATTGTAGTGAATCAAAAGAGCATAAATTTTGATACTTCGCCAAGCCTGTTTGGGTCCTCAGGCCTGAGCCCTTGCATTGTTTGGTTTTAACTGATCACAAAACAATATGGTTTATGTAGTTGTCTTTTTGGCTTAAGAGGCCAGTCAAAAGAATATCTATTTAGCTGCATAAATCTGTTCGTACCATGCCTATTCGATAAAGAGCTCAAAGTGATTTTAATTATACGCACTTTGCACTTGGGTTGTGCTCGACAAATGCCCTACTTAATCTCACCTGATGATTGCTCGGATCTCAGTTGATGCCCTGCCATTGACCTTATTCAATTTGCAATCGCCCTATGGTTTGATTGGAATCTCACTCGCGAGCTGCAACTGAATTTCAGAAGTGTAAGTCAGAGAGGGGTGCTGCCTCTAATAACTAATCAGAAGCGCTCAATTACCTTGACAACGTCATGAGGCACCAAAATCCGCTTAAACATCAATTGCAGTTTACATTTCCAGTGTTCGGTGGCTGTAAGCCAGCATTAGCAGATGGGCTGCAGGGCCTTGCACAGTGCATGCTATGCAACAAAAAGTACGGAATATCTGCGTGACATGCTGGCAACAACAAGCGGTGTCCAGCGTGCAGCGTGCAACGTGCAACAGGAACAGCATCGGCAACGGCAACGGCAACGGCAACGTGCAACAGTAACAACATCGCCTCAGCTGTCCAATTTGCGTGGCATGTCCCAGCTGCATTCCCAGCAAGCGTGACATTGGCATTCCTTGTCATCAGCTGGGGGCAATGGGCGTGCCCCAAAGCCAACCCACCGCACCCATTTTAGTCGTCTGCCCAGCAGGAATAAATCATGCGAATGCAGCCGATGCGAAGCTGCATCGCTCGCCTAATTAGATAATGTCAGCAGCACGCAGCGCGTCATTTCCTGAGCTGGCACTGGTCTGTCTGTGCTCTGGCTGCAGGCTTCTCTGTGCCCAATGCAACACACACACACCAACACACACACACACACACACACACACACACATGCATGTGTGTGTTTGTGTTTGTTTATAGTCTTGACCCCAATTAAATTTAAATCATTTGAGTGCTTCCAAAGTAAAATTAATTGCTTTTGCTAGTCTGCTCTGTCCGCTGCCCCTTTAACCCTTACAGGCATGTCCCCCTCACAAAGAAGCAGCCTCTGCCATTGTCTCGAGTAGCCCATTCATATGCTCTGCTTTGTTGTTCTTGTTGTTGCTCAATTTGCCAGAGCAATTTCCAATTGCTGTGCGCTTGTTTAAATCTTGCAAACGTTAAGTGCCACAACTGGAACTTGTTGTTGTGGTTAAAAAGTTGATGTTTGCTCTTGTTTTAATTCAATTTGTCAGGCCGCAAATAAATAGATACTTAAATGCCTCAACCAACGTCTGCATCCGCTCAGCACCACATTTCATTCTTTTTCAT